TGGTCTTACCTGCAAGACTTCCCAGAAAGAAATTCAATTGGAGAATTAAATAGTTTGCCAATAGTCTGTCCTAAGCCCGAAGCAAACGATTCAATGACGTTGCCCATATTCAAGAATCACAGAGCTGCATGAGACATTCAAGAACAATTAATACTATTTATTACTAATGTAATTCATTCAGTGAGGGTTTGAGTAAGGCACTGATGAGAATGCATTCAGTAGGCAATCTACTTATTTCTTTTCAAACTGATGGGAATTTGTTAAGAAATGGAAGACTACTTTATCAAACTATTTTTAACAACATATATCCTTTGTTTTCTCAAAATTATCATTAAGTAGATATAGAAACAGGATTGTCTTTTAACCAAAAAAGAGAATGTTAAAGCTAGGGCACACGTCATAAGAACATGGAGAATTCCCCCTATCCTCATTAAAGCAACTGCGCAGTTTGAGGCAGATGTACACTTTTAAGTGGTATCAACTATGGTTTGTTTGAAGAATTAATCAGTACAAGTTACCTTTAGAGACTCGTAAAAGTTAGATAAAACACTAATTATCAGAACAAATATACATATACCAGATTAAGTGTCGTTGGTTGTAATTATCAATGAGAGCATGTGGGTTCAAAAGAATGGTTTTGCTTTTTCCAATCCACTGGGCCGAGTAGTAATCAAATACGTAATATTTCTTATTCTTTTCACAAAAAATAAGGCACCTAATATCTGGATCTGTGAACAAATAACAAACTAAACAAACTTTATAAGAGTATTCCTTTTTGTTTCCCCTAATCGGTCATACTTTAGGAAGCTAAATCAGTGGAGCCACATGTTTGGCAGGCATATATATATTAATCACGTGGTCCAAGTCTCCAACCCTAACATGGACACACTTGATTTAGAAAGCCATTTGGCATCGTGATTCTCTGAATCACTAAAAGCCCTTAAATGGTGCGCAATGTTATTATCAAATAAAGTTCACTTTTAGTGTGGGGTTTTCTATTGTCTAAAATGGAGTGGAGAAAAAGACGTTTTATGGTTGTTTTCAATTCGGACATGGAGGAAAATTGCACGCATAAATGTTCATCTCTTGTTTTAAGAGGAAAAATGATAAAAGGTTGTTCCATATAGATGAAAATTGTGGAATCAATAATGCAAAACTTATCAGATCTTGCATTGTAGCCACAGAATCGTATATCGTAACAGTTTGTACCTTCCACACAAGATTACCTAATTTGTGCCCTCTAGAACAAGCCTTCCTTTATGGTAGATCAGATCCATGTTAACAACGTGCATATAAAAACTGTAATGAACTTTTCCAACTTATCCTTTGGGAAATGGAAATTGAACTGTTTCTTACAGTTAGATTTAAGAAAATCCCTGGTGTAAATTTACGCAGCAATCAGGTTTAATTAACCTTTGTGCTTTCTTTGAATGCGTCATCATAATTAAATTGTCATGATTGAAGAGACGTACTCACGTTTACTGTGGTTTTTCTAAGTTGATAGGACAGGTGCATTTAATATATATATATATATATATATATATATATATATATATATATATATATATATATATATATATATATATATATATAAAAGATTAATTTTTTTAACCGTTTTTTATATCACCCTTGATAATTATTTTTATGACATATTATTAATAAAAAGAAAATGAAATTATAAGAAAAATAATTATTATAGTTCTAAAAAAATAAAAGAAAAGAAAAAAATATATAATACGTATAAAAATAATAAAAGAAAATATTTTGCATTATCTACAATGAATTTCAATTATTATGATAGGCATATTTGCTTCCCGTTCTTTTTCTTGATTAAGATTATTGTATATTATTAAGAAGTATTCAATAAATACAAATTTAAAATAAAATCTCTCATTTAATAATATCGTGTGTTTATTAGCATTAAAAAAAATTAGTACTCCAATTCTTTATTATGTAAACTAATTTCAATAACTAACAAGAGTTTCTCATATTTACCACCACTTTTTTAGTATCGGTGTAGTTAATTTAGGCCAAATATATAGTCCTTATTTTAAAATTGTACAATTAGTTTTAGTATATTTTCTTTATTATATATATATATATATATATATATATATATATATATATAAATGACGAATCATATTACAATTGGTTTTTGAAATTTTTATATTGAAAATTTTTAATCCCTGTATTGATTATGAAAAAAAATTGATTATGAATTATAAAGTAGAAAGAATGTTGATAATTAACTCAAGAAGGATAAAATAGAACTTATGGTTTCCAACCTAATTTGTTCTTAAATATGTGCATTTTGAATTACTATTGCATCGTTTCACTGTGCATCTCGTGTTAAAATTAATTTATGTGAATGACCTCTTTTAAATTTGATTGAGAAATTTAGTAATTTTATTTTATTATATGAAGAATGAATTTTAATTTGCAATAATAATGTTATGTTTTGTTATTGCTAAGTGAAAAATTAATGGAAAATGCTAAGAATGATTAATAACAATTAAAGATATTATTTATTTGAAATTAAGCATGATAAATTTTGTTAGTCATCAAAATGACCAAAATTTTAAGGTTATTTTGATTTTAAATCATTAAAGATTTTATTTCAATTATCCATACGCTAAAAATTATGAATAATTGATTTGTGGGTTAATTGAAGTTCATTATTATAAGGCATTTTAGGATCACCCAAAGATTGATTAATTGTTATTATAATTAATGAACATAAAGGTGGATAATTTTGTATGCATAACTAGTTTTATTTATATACTAAAAGGTGTTAGGTGATTCTAGTTGAAACATATTTTAATTATCATTAATGTTATAAAATGATTAACGTAATTATGTTTGTGTATTAGTGGATCTCCCAAAGGAAAACATTAGTATGCATAAAATGGTTATTTATATTTGAATATGTATTTATGTTTAATTTTTATGACTCAAAGCGTTAATGTTAGACATGTGTTAATTGCAGTATTTGTTCCTATTGTTCTACATTCGCTTTCTTCGTCTGTTTCAGTCTTTAATGGATTAAATTTCTCTGACTGAAGTGAACAAGTCCAATTTCACTTAGGTGTGTTGGATCTTGATTTGACTTTCCAAGTTAAAAAACCGGCTGCTATCACTGATGCTAGTAGCAATGAAGAGTAAACTCATTATAGAGCTTGAGAAAGATCAAACAGACTTAGTCTTATGTTTATGCGAATGAGTATAACAAACAATATTAAGTTTGTTCTTCCTAAAACTGAAGATGCAAAAGAGTTTATGAAATTTGTGGAAGAGCGCTTTCAAATTGCTGACAAATCTCTCACTGGGACATTGATGAGTACGTTGACCACCATGAATTTTGATGGTTCTCGTAGTATGCATGAACACGTAATCGAGATGACAAATATCACAGCAAAACTCAAGTCTCTTGGAATGACAGTGGAAGAAAATTTTCTTGTGCAGTTCATTTTGAACTCGTTACTGTCTGAGTATGGTCCGTTCCAGATGAATTATAACACCATGAAAGACAAATGGAATGTGCATGAATTGCATAATATGTTAGTCCAAGAGGAGACCAGACTCAAGAACTCAGGAAGACACTATATTCATTACATGAAAAATCAAGGAGTTAAAAAGAAAGTTGTTAAGAAACATGGAAAGGGTAAATGACCATTAAAGATTAACAAGTCCTCTACGAACATTCAGAAGAAAAATGACAAATGTCATTTTTGCAGGAAGTTTGGACATTTTTAGAAGGACTGTTTAAAGCGTAAAACTTGATTCGAAAAGAAAGGTGAGCATAATGCTTACATATGTTTTAAATTAAACTTAACTAAAGTTCCCCATAATACTTGGTAGATTGATTTTGGATGTACGACTCATATTTCTAATGTGATGCAGGGATTCCTTTCAACTCGAACCATAAACCCAAATGAGAAGTTCATCTTCATGGGGAATAAAGTCAAGGTTCCAGTGGAAGCTATCAGGACTTATTGTTTGATCCTTGACACTGGATATCACTTAGACCTTATGGATACTTTTTATGTACCTAGTATCACTAGAAATTTAGTTTCTTTGTCTAAGCTTGATGTTGCTAGATACCCTTTTAAGTTTGGGAATGATTGTTTCAGTTTTATTAAGCATACTTGTATGATTGAAACTGGTACACTTTATGATGGTTTATATAAATTGAATTTGGATAATTTATATGCTGAAATTCTCATGACCTTGCATCATAATGTTGGCACTAAATGTAGTTTGGTGGATGAAAGATCTACTTATCTGGATTAGTAAAGAATGAAATCCTTCTGGATTTAGATTTTACTGATCTGAATATATATGTGGATTGTATTAAAGGCAAACAAACAAAACACACAAAGAAAGGAGCCACAAAAAGTATTCAACTTCTTGAAATCATACACATTGGTATATGTGGTCCATTTGACGTATATTCTTTTAATAAAGAGAAGTATTTCATCACCTTCATTGATGATTTCTCGCATTATGGATATGTCTATTTACTACATGAGAAATCTCAAGCATTTAATGCCTTGGAAGTTTATATAAATGAACTGGAGAGACAATTAGACAGAAAGGTGACAATTGTCAGGTCAGATAGATGTGGTGAGTATTATGGAAGATATGATGAAAGTGGACAACACCCTGGTCCATTTGCTAAGTTCCTTGAGAAGTGTGGTATTTGTACTCAATACACAATGTCAGGCACACTGCAACAAAATTGTGTGTCTGAAAGGCGTAATCGAACCTTAATGGATATGATTATGAGCATGTTAAGTAATTCATGTTTACCTGTATCGTTGTGGATGTATGCTTTGAAGACTGCCATGTATTTGTTGAACAGGGTTCCTAGTAAAGTGGTTCAAAAGACTCCTTTTAAGTTATGGACAAGTAGGAAACCCAATTTGAGACACCTACATGTTTGGGGTTGTCAGGCAGAAATAAAAATTTGTTCTTAAATATGTGCATTTTGAAATACTATTTCATCGTTTCACTCGTGCATCTCGCTCGTTCTTTACACAAATTTAATCAATCTAAACTAATAATTTTAAGAAAAATACTTTTTTAAATCTTTTAGGTTTAATATCTTAAATATATAATATTATATCATATCATTGAGGCATGGCATGGCACGGAGCGAGGCGGGGCGGGTTTTGCCTCCCCGATCCCCGTCTTCGACTTTTTTTACCATCCCCAATCCTTGGCGGGGTTAGAAATTAAGTCATCATTCCCGTTCCCGCTGGGTTTCGGGTTTCCACCTCCGCCCGTCCCGATCTATATTATTTTTAAAAAGATAATTATATTTATAATAAATTAATTTTACTATGTATTTTTATATATAAATAGATATTTATAATTTTATAATTTATAATTATTATTAATTAAATATATTTTTTAATTTATTATATTAAAATATATATGTAAAAGAAATATTTAATCATTTTATATATATATATATATATAAAATATTTATAATAATAATATTATTATTATTATTATTATAACACTATATTTAAATATTTGAATACTTATAATATTATTATTATTATGATTATTATGATTATTATTATACTATATTCAAATATTTGATTACATATATAAGTTAATGAAAACAATGAGGGGGAGATTGATGGATATGTCCTTACATTCCCAAGAGATAATTTTGATGATGATTGAAGTCAACAACATTCAAGAATCAAACAAACCCAAGATATGATTTTGATAAAGATTTAATTCAAATATCAAGCAAGCCCAAGATGATTCCTAAAGACTAGATAGAGTCTTAGAATACTGGATATGGGGGTACAAGTTGATGAAGTAATATTATGCATAAGCCTCCAGAGCACAAGTGTGATAAAATTTCGTAACATGATATTTTTTTACTGTCATAATCAATTATGATGCATCAGAAATGGAAAAATGATTTTCTGTGTCATAATTGATTATACTGGTAACATAATCAATTATGACAGTTCAAATTTGAAATATATATGTTTTGCAGAATAAATGTTTTTGAATATATCCCGATTTTTATCCACAAAAATATTAATGTCCAACGACCATTTTCTGATGCTATTTTTCAATTTAATTAATTTTTAATGGAAAATAAAAAACACACAATTACAGAATTTGAAAATATATTTTACATTCAATTAGTTTTGAAAAAAATATTTGAGCAAGGCAATATAGATATTTTACATGTTTTGAGAAAACCCTATTCTCTATTGTCTATTGTGCTTTCATTATCAATCACACTTGTTCTTGGAGGTTGACATTCTACAGGCTTCTATAATTTGTTGTCTCCATTACCCAGGTGTGACTGTTCTTATTTTATTACTTTCATCCTTTGTGGGTTTAAGAGGTTTAAGTTAATCAATTGTGTTATTCATCCTTTGATTTATTCAAAGGAGGTGTTCATCCCTACTGTGATTCTAGGGAGGTGTTCATCCTTTGTGTATTGGTGGCAAAGGAGGTGTTTTTCATCCCTAGTATGATTCTAGGGAGGTGTTCATCCTTAGTGGGATTCTAAAAAAGGTGTTTTCATCCTTTGATTTATTCAAATAAGCCTCACTTACTAGTATCTGAGCAACAATTCTTCCTGTTGCTTTTACTGAACTTCCCTCTTGTATAATCAAACCATCACACATTAATACAACAACATTTTTGGATTCCAAATTCAAAGCAATACCTATAGTACCTTCTTCAAATTCCACCAATTCACCCGTCATTACTTCATCAAGACCAAAAATACGAGTAATATCATCGCCTACTTGAAGTACGGTACCTATATTTACAATTTGGACTTCCATATTATATTGCTCAATGCGTTCATGGATAATTTTACTAATTTCATCTGCACAAATGGTTACCATGAAAATTTTTTAAGTTTCTTTTTAAGAAGAAAAAAAAAATAATGCATATACTCTATTTTATAATAGAAAGACTAATCAGTTATTTTTTTATTTCATCGTCCCAAACATGCCAATATTAGCACTGATAGTACGTAAACGTAACTTGTTGTTCAAGAAACTATTTAGAGTTCCTAGAGCTCCCTGTAAGGCTTGTTGTAAAATTCGTTGTCGGACTTGATTAATCACTCTTTGTTGTTCAATATGAATGACTTCATTTTTGTAATTTTCTAATTGTTTCAAAGTCGTATAAATTAAATTAATTAAATTCAATTTTTGTCGTTTGATCTCAGAATAGCCATTCACCCAAACCGATATGCTTCCGTTTCAACTTTCCTTAAGCGGGTCTGGGCTTTTTCGAGCTATTCAATGGCCCTTTCCCGTAATTCTTTTGAGTTTCAAATAGTTCTCCAAATTTTATGTTTTTGATTATCTAATAAATCACTTAATGAAAGTAGACTCTCTTTCCATTTATTTCAAAATGTCTATGATCTCTTCCCAAACCAAACATGAATCTTTCGATTCATTTGGCTCTCACACTCAATTACTTATGGGAAATTTCCCATTTTTTTTAATGAGTCTATCTTCTCTTCTTTATTAAAAGTGAAAACAATTACCAATATAAGACCAGAATATTTGGATGAGTCTTTTGACCAAACAAATATATGTCAATAAAGTTGTTTTTTTATTCAAATCTAAAGACTTTTTTTTTATACATAGGTCATCCATCGATTACGCATTGTACAAAGCAAAGAGGGGTTTAAATTAACAACCCATTTTTCATTTCTTGCCGTAAATAGGATTCAAGCCATTTTATCGACATGAGTGTTCTATATCGAAAAAAAATAGAATAATTTTATTGAAACCGTTCCTTTCTGTATTAACATAGTGGTAGAAAGAGTACTACACTGCGTCTAGACTTCAAACTATTTTTAACCATGGTAATAGTCCAAAATGGTTGGTTAATAGAGAATCTAAGTGGATTACCAATGAAGTGCGAAATGTTATGGTTCTTTAATCTTTTTCTTAAATTATTCAAAAAAGAAAATGAATTCAGAAGTCATTCGCGGGATTATACACATTTTCTTAATTCTAACTAAACTAAAAAGTGCAGTTTGGTTGGATCCAATTTCTTCTTTGAAATAAACAACTCGCACACACTCCCTTTCCAAAAAAAACCAGTACACCTAACAGTACACTAAGATTTATTGGATTTGTTGCTAAAATATCAGTATTAAACATGAAACTTCTGGCGGATGGCCATGAGTCCAAACAAAGGAAAGAATCGATTCTATTTTTCATATTATCTCCTCTTAAGAATAGACTAATTATCTTTATAAGATTCCTATTCTCTCTCTCTCTCTCTCTCTCTATATATATATATATATATATATATATATTTATAATATAATAATATAATTTGAATCTATAATTATATAATTTGATAGAATTTGGATTGGTCAATCAATTGGAAGATTCCCTAAAAGAATGATACTTCTTAGAATTAGATACCCGTTCTTTTATCAATTGTAAAATCTATCTAGTTTTAACACTTTCAAAAAATTATCTTAAAAAAAAAGAGGGGTTCCTTGGACTAAAGGGGTTCATTGGACTAAAAAAGAAGAAAGAGGTCGAATAAGTATGTGAATTCCTCATCTTTCAATTAGTCCTTCCCTTGTGTTCTTATGCGAACGGATAAAGAATTGTAGGAGTGAAATATTCATATAATTCGAAAAAGGAAGTCCACATATGTATTTCTATCTTTTTAGGATTAAACAAAAGGATTAGCAAATAAAAGCGCTAATGCTACAACCAGCCCATAAATTGTTAAAGCTTCCATAAAAGCCAGACTAAGTAATAAAGTATCCCGTATTTTTCCCTCTGCCTCTAGTTGTCGTGCAATCCCCTCTACAGCTTGCCCTGCGACAGTGCCTTGACAAAACCCAGGTCCAATAAAAGCAAGCCCTACGACCAATCCAACAACAATAACAAAAGCGGAAGAAATAATTGGATTCATAATAATTTCCTCGTAACCTAAATATAAAATAAAGAAATAGTTAATGATATAATCAACCAATCAATTATGACTTCATTTTTCAATTAACAAGACTTTTACAGTTAAAGTAATTAATAAGAATTACAAATTGAAAATAATAGTTATTCATATTTCAAAAATTTGAATTTATTCAATTTATTTGAAAAAAGTGTTCTTAATAAAAAAAGTTGGCGATATTTTTCAAAATCTTATATATGATTGGTCGTATAATCGTGGTTATTTAGATGTTTTTTTTGAAATATCTTTAATTGCGGGTATAAAAAGATTAGTCAAATTCAATTATTTTTTTGATAAAAAAATAATTGATGGAATTCCGAATGGAATAGGTATTACAAGTTTTTTTATGGGAGAGGCTATCAAATATGTGGGGGGTGGACGAATATCTTCATATATATTATTGTATATTATAGATATTTTAATCTTTCTATTTATTTTGTTTTTATTTATTTTTATTGTTACATCGAAATAAATAAATATTTACTAATCTTATGAATATTGAACTTGGTAAAAAAAGGGGATTTAAAAACTGAAAACTAAGATTCTGAAAGAAGATTCTTTGAATACTAAAATTACGTATTGAATTTGGATTCTTGTATCCATAATTCAAAAAGTTTTTTTTACTATTGTCGAAGAAGTGAAAAAAAAAGATAGGGTATAACTATGACAGTTATTGTATGAGGTCTACCCAATGCTAAATGCAAAGGCGTATAATAGATAGAAAAAAACAGAAGAAACTTGAAAAAAAAGAAGAAGTAACTTGAACAAAAATAAACAAAGTGACTTAGACAAATCTTTTTTGTCGATAACCTCAGACCAATCAATCGAATATTGATTAATATGTAATCGATCAAACACTACTTGAAAACAGCTATTCTGCTCAGAAATGAAATAGTCCAAATGTTCCTAGAAATTCTTGATCCCATTGGACCATTTGTATCTATATGCATTAGGATCCCGATTCATAGATATCTCCGTTCGAGCAATAAAAATAAGAGGATCGAACCATTTCTTCTGACTCTTTTTTAAATTTGATAAATGTTGGTTGATCGTGTATTTCATTATAGTTCGATAATTCAGAGTATCATTTCCTATTTGATACCTTTGAATTCCATATTCGAAGTTGCAATTGAATTGATTGAATACAT